CAACTACACTGTGATATAGTCGACTACATGCCTAAACTACATTGCTTGGTCAATACTCCCCCTCAAACTTAGACTTTGGAACTACCCAAAGGGCTAAGCTTGGAGAGCTCACTAGCACCACCTCATTAAAAACCTCAATATGGAAAACCACTTGGGACAAAACCACATTGAAACTTCCCGAGATATTGCTTGGACTCTAAATCCTCTTGATTGAGGTCATTGATGGTTTTATTCACCTCACACACACGTGTAAGGTTAGAGACTAAAATTATATTAAAAAAAAAAAACTAATGTGCTTTTATAATAAAACTGTTTTTTTAAAGGATGTATCCCTTAAAAGTTAGTTATTTGAAATGTGTCCCCAAGTTATAGCTCTTCAAAGGTGCCTCTTAAACAAACTGCAAAACAAAATTCATATCCTTACACTTGTGATCTTTCCTCAAGAATCGTATCGTTTCACAATCTATATATTAAAGAGATTGTAAAGGTTATCAGATTTATTAAGTTCTCTCTCATTTTCTCGTTTATTTCTTATCATTTTCTCTAGATTTTTAATTTCTCTGTTTCTTGATATACGCTGTCCCGTTGAGTTTCTACAATTTTCGACCTATTCCTCTGACGAATACTGCATGTGATGAGTTGGTGAGTTTACTGTATTTCTTCTTTTCCAAAATTGATTTTGGTTTTATTTTTCTGTTGAGTTTATGATGAGTTTATTGACCCTATTGAGTTTTCTCTTTGTAATTACTCTATTTACTGCCCTGTTGAGTTTCTAATTCTCCCCAGTCTACATCGATTGAAACCACATTTACAGGTTATTTCATCATCTACTAATAATAACAATCCGGATTAANAGTTTATGATGAGTTTATTGACCCTATTGAGTTTTCTCTTTGTAATTACTCTATTTACTGCCCTGTTGAGTTTCTAATTCTCCCCAGTCTACATCGATTGAAACCACATTTACAGGTTATTTCATCATCTACTAATAATAACAATCCGGATTAATTCCAAAGGTTGTGAATCTCATTTAAGGTGAAAGGTTGTGTTTTTATTTTTAATATCTCAAATTTGTTTTTATATAATTACTATTTGTTTCAAAAGTTGTGTAATAGTTAATTTAAAAATTCAAGGTTTTCCATTATATGATAAAATTATATTTAAAAAAAAACTAATGTGTTTTTAGAATAAAACTGTTTTTTTAAAGGATGTATCCCTTAGAAGTTAGTTATTTGAAACGTGTCCCCAAGTTATAGCTCTTCAAAGGTGCCTCTTAAACAAACTGCAACACAAAATTCATATCATTACACTCGTGATCTTTCCTCAAGAGTCGTATCGTTTCACAATCTATATATTAAAGAGATTGTAAAGGTTATCAGATTTATTAAGTTCTCTCTCATTTTCTCGTTTATTTCTTATCACTTTCTCTGGATTTTTAATTTCTCTGTTTCTTGATATACGCTGTCCCGTTGAGTTTCTGCAATTTTCGACATATTCCTCTGACGAATACTGCATGTGATGAGTTGGTGAATTTACTGTATTTCTTCTTTTCCAAAATTGATTTTGGTTTTATTTTTTTCTGTTGAGTTTATTGACCCTATTAAGTTTTCTCTTTGTAATTACTCTATTTACTGCTCTGTTGAGTTTCTAATTCTCCCAGTCTACATCGATTGAAACCACATTTACAGGTTATTTTATCATAATTGCGAGAAGGTACCTTTCCAAACTGATTTGGCTCCCATATAGGGAGACGCTAATGAATAGATCAAGTTGTATTTACAACTAAATTTGTCTGATTTTAGAAATATAAACAAACGTAGAGACTCTATGTTATTAGATGTTATATTATTGATTGCAAGCTGAGGGTTACAAACGTTTGGAAAAAAAAAACAGAATTCAACAGTGCTTAAAACTTGGTGGACTGAATACCATGTTTATATGGAGCGCTCTCCGGCAATGCCTTTAGTAACGGAAGTTCCTACCATCATTTTGGGATGGATGTATCCCATGGATCCCCTGGCCCGACCATCACCTGCTGCGGCTGTGAGCCTCATACAATGGACACTCATATCAAAATTTTGGGCATGTGTGAGTACACAATCGCAGAAGTGGACATGATTGATAATCACGTAAATCCCGTCACAAACGAAAAGAAAAATTGTGACTTAATAAAAATGTCAATTAGTTGTAATCCAAAATAAAATAAAAAGTTGTCTCTTTAAAGAAATAAAATAAAAAACTCTCTTAATAAATAAAATGAAAGATTGTCTCTTAATAAAAATCTCAACTAATTCTAAAAGTTGTGAATGTCAAATAAAATGAAAATTTGTGTATCTTAATAAAAAAAATCACTTAATTCCAAAGATTGTAAATATTAAGGAAGATGAAAGGTTGTGAGTCTTAATAAAATAACAATTAATATGAAATGTTATAAATGTAAAATAAAATGAAAAGTTGTATCTCTTTAAAAAAATAAAATGAAAAATTGTGTCTCTTAATAAATAAAATGAAAGATTGTATCTCTTCATAAAAATTTCAATTAATTCTAAAAGTTGTGAATATCAAATAAATGAAAAATCGTGTATCTTAATAAAAATCTATAAATAATAGCAAATTGTTTTTTATTCTTTGACATCATCATTTTTAATAAGAAAATAAAATAATCTATATTATAATGATACACTTTAAAGGCTCCTTAAGGTGTCCACATATGCAGATTGTGGGTCCCACATTTTTATATTAAAATAGATAGTTTTTTTAAAATGGCTACAAACAAAGAATATCAGTTTAGTCAAGTGGTCTAAGGTCCCATGTTTGATCTGCAAGGGCATGAGTTCAATTCCCACTGCTCTCATGCATAGATATTTTTTAAACACACATAGTCTTGGTAAGATTGTCACAAACAATGAAATACACTTTAGTCAAGTGGTATAAGGTGTCTAATTAAGTATGCAAGATTGTGGGTTCAAACCACGCAGCTATAATGTAATTTTGATTTTATTATTTAGGTTATTATCATATGATTTTTTT